CGACACATCGTAGAACATGCTCGTTGTTTGTGGTCGGAAGAGGTGGATCCAGACCAGGGTCGAGTCCACCAACTCCCTTGCCCTCTTGAGGCTGCCGAATACCAGGTCTACCATGAAGCGAGGTACTCGGCACCTCAGCCCGGTCATTGGGGCCTTAAACTCTCGCCAACCTCCTACCTCCACCCGAGTCCTTAACCCCACATTTCTTTTCCCTCGCACTTCCTGGCCTACCCGGTTTAGTACCCTAGTAGCCCTTTGGAAGATTGGCAACAACCCATGCCCTAGTGCCAATTTTGTCCCCAACATATGCCATCCAAGCTCTGGCAGGTATACAATCCCCGTCACCCTAAGATTCGTATACAGGTCGTCTCCCGGGCCCCTGTTAATCCTCATACCATCCCACAAACATTCCATCATCATGAACGCCTGTCCTCTTCCCAGGGTCACGGCTCTCCATTCGGCATCCAATCCTTGAATCGCGTAGCCTGCTAGGAGCGACACCTCCCATCCACCTCTGTTTTCCGTGGGTGGTTGCGGTTGCATGGGTCGCCGCGGCATCCGGGCGCGTCTCATTGCCATTTCCGACTTAGAAGTCCCCTGCACAATTTTAAACAGCACGCAAATTTACTTATTCCCCTTGGTCTTCAATTTTCCACCCGAACAACTCCCCGATCCCTAGCCTGGTGCTTCTTTTCCCCTTCTATTTCTTTCCCCTCTCTTTGGCCCTATTACCGACCTGTTCCCTCCTCCATCTGCTCATACAATCAGTACAAATCATCTACGTATGCCATCCCATGGTTTATTTCCCGCCGAACGACACCCCACAGGACCTCACTTCCCACGACTGGAACCCTTGGCCTGGTACTAAACACAGCACGCAGGATGCGCAGCACCTCGTACTTCTGCTCTCCGCTAAACGGTCCCATTTCTAAGAAGGCCTGGTAGTATTCTCAATGTACCTCCGCTTCTTTATATGTCAGGCTTGCGAGGTCGGCTACCACTTGTCCAACAAGTTCCAGACCGCCCAGTTTTTCCAGCAGGAAGGGCGGCAGCCTCATTCGTACATTTTCACTAGGCAATTCGAAACTCCAGACCATGGCTACCCTAAGGTCTGTCGTTACATCGTCAACCCCCGGATCTGCGAACTCAAATCCCGTTCGCCATGCTAGCTGCCATGCCCCCTCAAACATGCYCAACGGGTCTTCTCCAGATGCCAGCCGAACTCCGAACTCCCTCCACCCGTTTTCTGACACATACAACCGCCCCTCTGCCCGCACGTGCCCCCGTGGGACCAGGTTCCATTCCCCATTCTCAGCCGCACACCACTCAACTTTCATCACCAAATAAACAATATTTTCCGCAAGCTCGATCCCGACCCAATCCGCCACCTGGAGCCATCCCTCACCTGTTGCCGGCAGGCTAACCTCTATCCCACCCGGTACTTCCCTAGGTGGTTCAATGCCCAAGGGGCGCTCCTCAAGGAACGTCCTTCTTCGTGCCATCGCGCGCTCGCCTTTGATCTCCCGGCTCACGATCCGCGCTGAACCCTACAATGGCCAGACATCCCATTCCCTATTCTTAGCAATTTTGTCGTATTTGTCTGGCTCCACAGCTTCTCTGCGCTTAGTCGGACCACAGTACTTCGAACAGTTTGAACACATCATCCACATAGCAAGGCGTTGTTGCTACCTCATGGCGGATTATGGCCTCCCTGGTTTCCGGGGCCACCTCCTGCCGGTCATTCCTTTCGATGTCCAAAATGATGAGGACCTCCCGGGCTCTATCGCCGTGGAAGGGCCCGCATTTCAAGGATGTCCTATAGAATTGCCCTGCCAGCCAAGTGCAATTCGCATGTATTCGCTCCATCGTGCCGGCTACCTCTGTTACATGATCAAAACCCCCAAACCAGTCTACCACGAATTCGGGTACCCAGGTCTTGATTCGGGCGCCGGGCGGTTTAAATTCCTTCCATCCTCCCATCACGACTCTACTGCTGACCGTATCCCACCCTTTATTAGCAAAACTTTCCCCCGCCTGCTTAGCCCTTGCCTCAGCGTCCCCTAAAAGCCACATCGGGTTCTGCCCTGCAGCGAGCGTCGTGCAGAGCAGGTGCCAGCCCTGTTCCGAAAGAACAATCGTCGCAATTGATTCCACCCTTCCTTCCGCAATCTCCTCCCATCCTTCGTCTTCCCTCAATGGATTCCAGATACGCTCTATCCAAAGGTACGATAGTTCCGACACAATCTCATATCCCCGCCACTCACATGTGGTCCCTTTCCATTCATTACTCGGCGGTATTGACATCTCTACTCCCCTTCAGGTTCGTCTTGGTTCCCATGTGCAGTCCCACAAGTCGAGTTCCCGAGCCATCATTCCCTACCTGCACATAGCGGACAACCCGTTTTCCCCAGGTAAGCCCCCCTTAGAAGTCCCACTCCTCTATCTCGTCCCCGTCCTCCTCATCACTAAAATCCTCCTCCTCGTCTAGGAACATCTCTTCACCCCTTCCACGAAGGTTTCCCCTGCTGCCACGTTTCGGTAAACTATCTGCCAATGCACCGGGCTGGGAACAAAGATTCCGTCCGCGCTGAGGAGGTTTAACACCTCAGCCAATTCTTCCGCCCAGTTTCCTTCGAACGGCCCCGCCTCCACCGATAGTTTAAAGAAGTCCTGCCTAGCACCTTGGTACAACCTCAGGCGCGTCATCGACCGACATATCCGCTCCAATCTACCCCTGGTTCCAAAGACTGCATCCACTAGGAATGGGGGTAGCACGCATCTCATTGTCCTAAGGGGGCGTCTCATATTTTTCCGGTCCCCGAGTTCCACTCGCACCTCCATCCCCTCCATCTCCATTTCTGCCCGCTGACATGCAGCCCACACCCCTTTCCGTTCCGCTTGCCTAAACAGTTGGTCCGGTGCCGTGCCCAATACTAATCCCACTACCATTGCGTTTTCCATTTCTTTAAACAGGTAGATCCACCCTCGGGCCTCCACCGTTCCCCAGAATTCCAGGTCCATCAGGTTGGGTGAGAGTCTTGTCAGGCCGACCTTGGTCCAGATTGTCTCTATCCAGAGGAACGCGTCCTTCCTGTCCAGCATCACGGTTTCATAGGCTGGTTCTAGGTCGGTCCAGGTCCCTTCTTCCGGGAGAACAACAGATACCCCATCCCTTACTTTTATAGGCATTTCCGGAGCACTAGAGTAGACAGGAGGCGACAACCATCGCGCCATCTTGTTTCCCGGCGCCTGTCCTGTTTTTCACATGAGAGCACCACACGGCCCTTCATGGTCAGATGGTTTGCTTTCCTTTTTCTAGATGAGGGTTGTTTTCAGACCCCTCATCCGGGTCTCCCTAACCTCCCTTATTCATTTTCCAGGTACCATTGCCCTTCCATACCCCCAATCGATCACCTGCGGCTCACATTCCTTCTTTTCTTAGTTCCACTTTCTTCCGACTCCTGTCCAGCCTCTTCCTCATGTTCTCTCACAGATGTTGCACAACTCTGTTCATCTATTCGGCCTGTCCATTGGCTTCGGGATGATTCCCAGAAGTCATCTGAAGTTGACTGCCCACTTGCTCAGCAGTCTTCTTCCACAACTCACTTGTAAAACGGACATCTCTGTCACTAATGATTGACTTTGGCAGTCCAAAATCATGCACCCAATTGTCCAAAAACAACTTGATGACGTGCTCAGTCCTGGCAGTCTCTGGCATGGCAATCAGTCTAACATACTTGGTAAATCGGTCTATGATGACAAAAATGTGCCTCTTCCCACTCCTTCTGGTTACCATGAAATCCATGGAAACACTCTGTCCCGGACCAGCGGGAATGGGCAAGGGCTTCGGCAGCCCAAGCGGTGCTTGAGTTCGCCGCTTGTCCTGCTGACAGACCTAACAAGTCTCCACATATTTCCGGGCCACCAAAATCGTTGTACTAGGTTGGCACTGGTCTTTTTATAGCCAAAGTGTCCAGTTGCATCATGACATTCACTTGGAAATAAACTGCACAAATTTTCACTAGATGGAACAACTTATCTTTCAAACCCAGCCTTTCTCAGAAAGAGCAACCCATCCACCATCACAAACTCATCTTCAGTGCCCTAGTCTTTAGCCTGCAGCTTGCGGATGATGTCCATCGTGACAGGGTCTTCCTGATTGGCTCCCACCAGCGATTGAGTTACTTCTTCAGATACGCCAAATTCAGAAACTAGCGCCCCTAGGTAGTCTGCCCTACGTGACAGCGCATCCGCAACCTTGTTGTACTCTCCCTTCAAATACTCTAGCTTGAAGTCATACTCATCTATGACTTCAATCCATCGCTTGAGTGCGTGAGAAAGAGCAGGTTGAGTCTTGATCCATTTGAGGGTCTGATGGTCAGTTCTCACATAGAAAAACCACCCCAACAGAAAGTGCCTCCAATGGACAAGTGCCTTATAGAGAGCATAGAGTTCCCTTTCGTAGGTGGACTTTGCTAGTTTCTTTGATGGCATTTTCTTGCTCATATACTCGATCGGTCTCAACTTTTTCCCATCCTGTTGAGCCAGCACTGCGCCAATGCCGTACTGGCTTGCGTCAGTGGTCACAATAAAGGGCTTTTGAGGATCGGGCACCATGAGAACCTCGTGATTCATGAGTGCATGCTTCAATCATTTGAAACCAGCCTCGCACTCGTCACTCCAGTCCCAAGGCGTATCAAGTCGAGTGAGATCATTCAAACGAGGGGCGACCGTGGAATAGTTTTTCACAAAGCTCCTATAGTAGTCGCACATCCCTAAGAAAGATCTGACCTCAGTCACTGTCTGAGGTCGTGGCCAGTCCCTTATACTAGCCACCTTCGCATCTTCCGGCCTAATCCCTGCCGCGGATACTTCATGAACCAAGTACAAGATCTTAGTGCGTCCGAATTCACATTTCTCTAAGTTGACCTTATACGTGCTGCCGCAGGAGTGAGAGAACAATCTCTAAAAGTTGTGCATGCTCCTCGACAGACTTACTCAAGACAAGAATATCGTCGAGGTATACGACAACAAACTTGTCCAATTAGTCATGGAAGATCCTATTCATGGCGTGCTGGAATGTTCCCGGCGCATTGCAAAGGCCAAAGGGCATCATGGTCATCGCCACAAACTCGTACAGACCGTATCTAGTCTGAAACGCAGTTTTGTGTCGATCCTCAGGTCTTATGGCAATCTGATGGTAGCCGGATTTTAAGTCTATCTTGCTATAGTACTTACACCCCTGCACCCTATCCAATAGGTCGTCTATGCGAGGCAGAGGCTCTGCGTTCTTCACTGTGATGGCATTGAGGCCTCTGTAATCAATGCACATCCTTAACGATCCCCCCTTCTTCGGTACAAACAGCACTGGAGATCYGAAGGGGGAAGTACTAGGCCGTATCCAACCCTTTTCTGTCAGCTCTTTCAGTTGTCTTCGGAGTTCGTCCAAGTCGGCCGGAGCCATCCTATAGATCCTTCCCCTTGGGGTTTTACTCCSTGGAATTATTTCTATGGCGTGGACAATCTCCCTATCTACGACTCTCGTGGGCTCCTCAAACAGAYCAGGGAACTTAGTAACGACGTTCTCTATCTCCGGGGGTGTTTTAACGGCCTCCCCTTTCTCAGAGATATAGACTAGGTACATACCCTCCTCTTGGTTCTGTTTATAGTAGTTGTAGAATGCTGATGCACACAAGCACCTGTAGGAGTCTAACAACCTGCCAACCTTGTACTTGGCCAGTCTCACGGTCCTCCTATCAGGCAAAGCATCTTCTTGTCCCAGTCAAACTGGGGCTTGGCAACCTCAAGGTAGTACATTCCTAACAGCATGTCGAACTGTAAGTCATCACTAACCAGGAACGAAATCTTATGATTAATTTCCCCTCCTCCATAGGAGAAGGTGCAGACTACATCCTTGACATAGTCTGACACGACCATGCGCTCCTTGTTGACCAAAGTAGATGCTACTGGTCTACTAAGGTGTTGTACCCGGTCCTCTAGGTGCAGCCTTTCCAAACAGTCGCGACTTATGTAATTCGTCGTGGAGTCGATATCTACGAAGGCACCACATTTGCGGCCTCCTACAACAACTTCCACGACGAAATGTTCCCCTCTAGGACAACTTAGTGCCACCCAAGATTCGCGAGGGTCCTTGCTTGACCACTCACTTTCTAAATATTCTAAGGCCTCAGACACATCCAACGTACATAGCATAGTTTGGTCTGGGTGTGTCTGCGCGGTGACTAAAGAGTCATTAGCTATGGCCATCTCATGAAGTGGGGAGGGTATCTGGCCCACTTCACCATGAGTAGAAGCAGCTAAAACTTCCACCGGCCTAAAGTGTTTCCCGAGCTGGAACTGGTCCCAGCCTGGGAAGAAGGCACCCCTCCCTTAGCGGGTATCTTCTGAGTGACCTTTGCGTTCTTGCAAATGTACTGGGTGTGTCCGTATTCACCACAGTTAATTCAAGCACCACGCACTCGGCGGTCCCGCCACACTTCCTGATCAAGACCTGCCTTTACCCAATCTGCTACTTTGGACTGATTGGAGGCGGCCTGCCCTTGACTCTTTTGATGACCGCCTTTGCTGTGGCCACCAGCCTTTGCCTTGACTACTGCGGCGAGGGTGCTACCCTCAGCGATTTCCACTCTGAACCGTCCATCAGGTCGGTAAGTTCTTCAATTTCAGTTTGAGTCCCATCGACTCAACCATCATCAATCTACTACCCTTCTTTTTCCACTCTTGTGGACTCTTCTTCTTCCTCCCGTCTACTGGAGTGGGTTGAGCACTTCCTAGGGTAGCCTCCAAGTCTAAGGCCTTTCTAGAGAAGGTCTCAAAAGAATGATACTCGAGGCGAGCCTCGCTGGCTAGTAAGGTTTTGAGATTCTCGGGCAGACATCTCAGAAACATGGTCAATAAAACCTGGTCATCATAGCGTATACCGGGAACGACGATGAGGTTCTCTACGGTAGACATCAACTCTCTGACAGACTTGTACCTTCGCTGGTCCAGTCTCAAGATCGCGTCAGTGGCAATTTGTGCCTGCTGCGGATTATGCCAGCGCGCTTCTACCATATCCAAGAACTCTTCTAAAGTGAGGGTTTTACCCCAATCAGCCATGCGTCGTCCGAACCCGGCTTTCGCTACTATCCCATCCAACCATTTGGCTGCCTTACCTTCAAGGTAAGATGCAGCACTAATCACCTCCTCCTCCTGCAACGTCCTGTTTGCCCTTACCCACATCGGAACCGTCCTCAACCAAGTGTTGAGTTCCTCGTCCTTCTTCTCACCGGAGAAAGCAAGGGGCGGCTTCATCCGGGTCTTTGGGTACCATGGACTTTGCTGCTGTCCCTAAGGTGGAACATATTGTTGCGACTGTGATGTAGCTCCAGCCGCTGGACCAGAAGAAGAAGAAGCAACAGTCTGTGCGGCTGCTGTAGACATACCACTTGGGTGTGTGCCAGCTTGTATCGGAAAGGGGCCTGACATCGTCGTTAACGGCAACGGCGACTGTGCTGCTGGCCGTAATCCTGGCCTTTGCAAAAGGTCCAAGATTTGGTCCAAGGAGTTCTGCATGAAATCCAGCCTGCTGTCCACATGCGCATGCAGCGACAGTATGCTGGACCTTAAGACTTTCATTGTGTCAGACATTACTGACTCATCTAACTCCTCTAACGCAGCTTTGTCTGCCTCTAACGTATCAAGCCTGGCTGTCCTATTTCTAATCTCATTTTCCCTATCGGTAGCTTGCTTCAGTTCCCTCTCTAACCGTATGCGGATCCTCTCGACTTGTTGGAGCTCTAGTAGCTCTCTACCACGTGGGGTCAACAGACTGAACTGCGAGCCCACCATTTGACTTGTGGACTGACTGGAACCTACTGATCCGGAAGTACACGTGGGCCCAGGGGGCATCCCCAACTGGGTCCCAGACGAGGATGCAGCAGAGGATGCTGCCGCGGTAGCCATTGCTGCTACGCTGGCTGCTGTTGCTGCCCGTTCCCTAGCTGCGGCGTTTGCTGCTGCCAACGCCTGGCTTGCAGCTAGTGTTGTTTCCCTCGCTGCTGCGTAAGCACAGGCTCTAACTTCGGCACGAAGCTGTCTTTCGTCTCTCGGCCGTAGGGCCTGATACACGTGCGGGACCCTAAGTGATCTCGAACGTGTCAACCTCGCATCGTCAACTCTACCTTCATCAGCATCTGACCCACTCATTAGTTAGGCAAACACTATCTGCACTACAACTCCCTGCTGGAGTCCTACCACAGCATGTGTCTGACCGGCACCTAATTTTCTAAAAATAAATGTGTCCGGCAGGTCCCCTACTTAACCGATCAAGTGGCAGCCTTACAACATTCACAAAGACTGTAAACATAATCTAATTTTCTCCAGATTAGTTCACTTACACAAGCTTTGCATATAACTGGATATGGTAGTATACTACAGTCCTAAACTAAGCTGTCTGTGAGGCGTTAGCAGTCTCTCAACCAACTAATAAAAAATAAAACTAAATTATGTTGCAGATGTATGAACAGTGGATATGGTTGTGTTTGCAGTTGCACACCAATCGGAACCTACCCTCCCCTCAATCCAACATACCGATGAGCATCAATGAGCAGCAGTGTCATAGGTGTGCAATGTCGGCCCACCCCTGTGCCCCAGGTGCATGTTTATGACCAGGCTTGCCCGTTCTTTATCCTCACGTGCAACGAGCCGTACGTCCGACTGATCTGGCTGATCAAGAGGCTTATTTAAGGACTTCCCCCAAGGTCGCTCAAGAATTATTTAACGTCGTAATCAGGACGACGATCACAGCCAGTGGACAGATCGGAACCCTATCCGGAAATGTTTATAGACAGTCTGGGAGCGTCTGCATAAGCCTGTTCAGTCAGCACACCCCTCTATCAGCGCAGCAAAAGAGCCCCAATGGACAAAGCAGCCATCGCATGCGTGTACTAATCCCATTGGGTTGGCATGGTGACCATGACCCATGTGCTTCGACCAGGGCCCTTCAGAAACACCGCTCTTTCTCCTTCCAGATCGCCAACGGGAAGATTGTCATCTCTCAAGGTAGAGCGCTCATGACACCTCACCAAAAGAGAGGACTCTCAAGTTGGACTCACTTCTTCGCGGTAAGAAGAGATTGAGAGGGTAGATAAGGTAAGGGAACAACGTACCTGGAGATAGCTGCCCCCAACCACAAATTTCTCACCAATTGAGCCAAATGTGCATTTGATGACCGGTCGTAGCCTCGGTACCACCCACAACGCAATGTACTGCCACCTCAGCCAAATGCCACATCCGCATGCTCTCATCACCATACATACATTCTGCCGTCACCACGGCCTCCCAAGCCGTACAGCCTTCAGGCGCGCACCTCTCTACCTAGGTAGCGCACCTATTTTTGGCCCGACGTCACAAGAACCAACTGCGGAGAAGCATCGTCAACGCACCAAGTCTGTATAACGCCAGTGCACCAAGGTAAGCAGCGAATCGAACCAGCTCTGATACCAAATTGCAAGGAACATGAATGTGGACGAAGCAAAGAAATCCCAATCGCAAATCACACTAAAGTCCAAGTAGTCAAAGCAAGAGCAGATAACACATCGGAACCAAGCAACCATCCATTTTAGGACGATACAGCAAAAGTCGTGAGTCAATGTCCAGGCCCAATCGGGCAACACCAACAACATAACCCAAAGTAGCTCTCTCTTGTGAATGGCGCCAGGCACCCTATCTACTCTACAACCTATCCTACAACTACAGTCTACAACCTATCCTACAACTATAGTCATGGAAGCAACCAGACGACTTGACAACCAGCTAGTGATGACGTCAACACCAATGCCGACCTCCTCTTCCACCAGGTACGTCACTCGCTCTTGTCCCTCACTCTCCCTTGTTATCCCACACAGCGCCCTTCACCTCCCGAAGACCACCTTCACCCTCGCCTCCTCCAGTGCCCTCATGCAGCATGGCTATGGCTGCCAGCACCTGCGCCCAGGCTGCGCCCTACCGCTTAGCGCCTGCCTGCCTTCTCTCAGCCTAGCGCAGCGCAACACACTCGCAATGCAACAACGTGCTGACCTTGCTCGCAATGGCCAAGATCCCCACCCACTCGCCCGCTCTGCCTATACGCCAGTGTTGCGTGTGGGCGGTCTACCTTGAGCCTGCGCCTGGGCCCCAGTACCTGTACCCAGGCCCAATGCAGATGGGGCCCAGGTAATACAGTTGCGCCCCTTATGGTAGGGCCGTTGTCCAGATTCAGACCCCGTACTGATTTTCCCATTGGCTTCCCCGGCCTCTACGACGAAATATTGCTTTTCCATAGGCCAGGGACCAATGTGTGATGTGTCGGCCTCCCAGACTGTCGCCCAGGGCTCAACCAACCCCGGTACTGGGCTCAACTGCCTCTGCAGGAGTGGGAGGCTCACAGTGCACTTCAACCAACTGGCGTGCGGCAACTGTCTCATACCCACTTTGGGAAATGTTGAATGAAGGCCTCTTCGTGGATATTCTGGCTCGCCTTCACTTAGGGCAGGCACGAGGCTTGCTAGGG